CCCTCCTGGTATTGCCACTGTCACCGCTGGTCCTGAGGGGTTCATCTGTCCTAGATTCCCCGCATTTCCAGTTCCCATCTGTACTACTGCTGTGCATCCTCTGGTCTAACCAAGTTTGCAAGGTAGAATTGGGGTCATGGTAGTTGGGCCAAATTAATTTCTTATGTGCTCAGTAGGTTGTCCTACTTTGTCGAGCTAACTAGTGGATCTTTAAAACTTTAATTATTATGTAAACTACCTTGCTCTGAACTTCAAAGGAGAGCTTACAGGTGTGTGACTGTTTTCATCTTTCTATTTTTCCTGTCCTTTCAGCTAATTGTGGAGATTTCTTCTGTGTCACCAGAATCCTTAAGCTACTGTGTCACCAGTGGACTGATAACTCAGCTCCTCCGGGAGCTGACTGGGGAGGATGTGCTGGTCAGGTATGCTGACTGAACGTTCTTAAGGCAAAATGGCCTCTTTGGAGGTCCAAAAATCAATCTTGGGACTTAGTGTGACCTGTCTTGTTAAGGTCTGTGCCCAGGTTGCAATCACATGATGAAGGCATGTACTAGACCATTGAAGTAGTCCTCAAGTTCTGTCATAGCAGCATGTTGGAAATGTCATGCATGGCAGTGCCACTGCTTTTGATTGACTGTTTCCTGATCCTCGGCTTACCTGTTCTTAGAAAGTCATGTGCTCTACTTTATAGTACTCAACACTTTATCATACATAACCACCCTTCAGCTTTACGAAAGAAAGCACCACACTATGATAGGAAAACATGGGCTTTTACAAATGAGAAAAATACATCTCTACTAATTCCCTTGGACAAATTATTGTAACCTTCCTGCACGTCAGCGTGCTCATCTCTTAAATGGAACAGTAACAGTAAAGAAGATCTCATGAGGACTAAGTGAATTGATCAATGTATTGTCTAAACATAGATATGTTAATTAAAAAAAAAAAGAAATGTTAATTCCATTGTCATCACTCACAGTCCCCTAATCGTCAGATCCCTGTAATGCCTGCCAAATATTGCACTGTTGGCCTTCCACAGATTATGAATTGTTTTAAATATGCTTCCTTGTTAGACACTGGTTTGCTTCTAATGTTTGTTGGACTATTCAAAATAACGCTACAATTATTTTTATGTACATGGGGTTTGTTTGTTTTCCTTCTCAAATTCTTTTTTTAATGGCCTGTATTGTTTAAATAGAATTGTAATTGTTAATCTCATATTCATAGATCAGTCACTAATGACAGTGTTTTAAGTAATTTGAATATCTGTACCTGCTGAAGGAATTCAGAACACTCGTGATGCATTGGTTAAGTGCCCAGCTGCAACCTGCGCGGTCAGCAGTTGAGAACCACCGCTGACCGTGGGAGAGCGGCCTGGTGGTGTGCTCCTGTAAAGAGCACCGCCCAGGAAACCCTGCGCAGCAGTTCTTCTCCAGTTCGTTGCTTAGAGCTGGCGTTGACGCAGTGGCACACAGCAATGATGAAAAATTAACTCTGTTCAAATAATCCCGCAAGTAATCAGAGTAACAAGTCAGTGGTCTAAATGTACATTACAGTCATTTGGAGAAATCTCATCATGGTTGAGTATTCAATAATACCAAGGAATTATTGTTAACTTTATATGCGGTAATGGTATTACTATTATATAATTCTTTTGAGGTGCATACTAAATTATGTAGGGGTAAATGGTAAGATGACCAGGATATGTTTTAAAATAATTTATTTAAAATGTTTTTTAAAAAAAACAGAATTAGGCAAAATTCTATATACTATCCAAGCCAGTGGTTCTCAACTTTACTAATCCTGAGACCCTTTAATACAGCTCCTCATGTTGTGGTGACCCCCAACCATAAAATTATTTTCATTGCTGCTTCATAACTGTCATTTTGCTACTGTTATGAATTGGGCAACCCCTGTGAAAGGGTCGTTCGACGCCCAAAGGGGTTGCAACCCATAGGTTGAGAACCGCTGATCTAAGCAGACTTATTGGTACATAGGGGTTTATTGTAATCATCCAATAAATCCTCTTGATTTTTGTGTAAAGTGTCTTAGAAAGCCCTTATGTTGTCATGGAATTATCAGTGGGCTTTGAGTAAAAGACCAAGATCTAAGTCTAAATTCTGTCACATAGCAATATGATTCTGGTCAAGTCCCTGCAACTTTCTGGGCTTTATGTCCTCAGTGAAAAGTAGAACCAGGGTTAATTACCTTTCAGCTTCAGGCTGGCAGTTAAGCAAGGTAGCTTATATGAAAACCCTTTCTGAACTATGCTGCTCATATGCTGGATCCACTTACGTCTTTCTGACGTTGCAGAGCCACCTGCATAGAAATGGTGACGTCCTTGGCATATACTCATCATGGACGACAGTACCTAGCTCAAGAAGGAGTAATTGACCAGATTTCTAATATAATTGTCGGGGCAGATTCTGACCCTTTCTCTAGCTTCTACTTGCCAGGTAAGCAGCACTGGTGTCTGTTTCTGAGTTCTCTCTGAAGATTAAATAAGAATAGGAAGGACATTTAGAGACTGTGTTACAGATTCACCGATTTTCTGAGTCACAGTCTTTGTTTAATGTAGGATCCACTCCAGCCCTTCTGTCCCAAGAACGCGTCACTAGCTTTCTGTGAGCACCTCCAGAAACTGGAGAGTTAGTCCTGCTTTCGGTAGCCTAGTTTCTTTCAGTGTTGAGTTTGCTTTTAAAAACGTCTTCCAAATTATGATTTCAAACGTCCCTCTGTAGAATTCCTGTCGCCCGCCTTGGTTCTTTGTTCCTTAAGTATATCCTTGAATCTGACAGTGCTTCAGTATTTGCATCCAGCTCTATTGATAATGTCAGGGCTTCTATTCCGTTTGGACCATATACTGGCCCTTTGATATCTCCTTATGGTCCTCGGGCAACCACCTACCCAACCTTTCTCTTTCTGACCTGCAGTTTAGGCCCACAAAGTATACTATATTTCTCTATTAAAATAAATTTTTGTAACTATCTATAGGATTTGTGAAGTTTTTTGGAAACCTCGCTGTCGTGGATAGCCCTCAGCAGATTTGCGAACGTTATCCTGTCTTTGTGGAAAAGGTTTTCGACATGGCAGAAAGCCAGGACCCCACCATGATTGGTGTAGCAGTGGACACAATTGGAATCTTAGGATCTAATACTGAAGGGAAACAGGTTTTGCAGAAAACAGGTTGGTATGACTTGCCTTGGCTTTCTTTAAATATTATTTTGAACTGAGTCCATATGTCAACTCATTTGTTAATGGAGTAAGTGCATTTTTAGACTATAACTATTTTTATAGGTGATGGTCTTTTAAAACGATATGAACTCATTTCTAAAAATATCTCATGATTATTGAAACTTTTTTCCTGTTGTCATTATAGATAACGTATAATATAAATGTGTTTTTAGGCTTATCCCGTGGTCCTGCAAATTTGTTTTTGTGTTGGTTTAGATTGGTAGGAATTAAAGTGTATGAAAACAGTTTTTAAAATGGTATTGTTATTTCTTTAAAGGAACTCGCTTTGAACGTTTACTCACAAGAATAGGACATCAAGCAAAAAATGCCTCAACAGAGCTAAAAATCAGGTGTTTAGAAGCAATTTCATCTCTTCTGTATTTACCAGTAAGTAGACTGGGAAGTTAATGAAGGGCAGTGGGAGATGTTTGGGTGAATAAATAGTATCGCGATTCAAATAGTTGACTACTACTTATTTAATTATTTATAACTTGATACTCTTAAACTTAATATACATACTGATAAAATAAATGCTATGTTTCCCCTAATAAAACACACCTCATTCTATGACTAGTGGCATTTAAAGTTACGGTGGAATTACAGAAAATTAGAACTGGAAAAGACTAGAGCTTGCTTCCTCAGCCACCTCAGAAATGAGGGGCTCCGAGATAATGTTGTCAGCACCTATACACTCCTGCCCCCCCCCAACAGCATCTAAAACTGCAGCAAGCACGGGCAGAACCCACGTTGTCAGCACCGCGGTGCTTTTCCACGGAAGTTCTCCTTCATGAAACAATCCTCTTCCGTCCTTAGCCTGAGCAACACACCGAGGATCTCCTGAGGATGACGGAAGCCTGCTTCTCCTCCCTATCTCAGGACTCACTGGAGCTCTTCCGGGGCATCAGTAACCAGCCCTTCCCTGAATTGCACTGTGCTGCCTTAAAGGTGTTTACGGTAGGTTCCACCTCGTCCTCCTGGGGCTCTGCAGTTCCACAGATGAGCGGTCCCTGGGCAGGCTCTGGTAATACACAAGTCTTTCATACATTCCTATTCTCTGTTACCTGGTAGACGAAATGAAGGAGATAAATGTATAAGCAGATTGTTTTGGTAAAAGGTATTACGTGCTGTGGCAAAAACTTGACTGAGGTCCTCTATCACAGAGTAAGTGTAGACCCTTTGTCTGCCATAAAAGTAGCTCTCTATTGACCCCATCCCAGCCCTCTTCCTGAGCCTCAGAGTCTGCCGTTACCCTCCGGCACTTAATGATTTGGTAATATCAAACTTCTTGTTTCATCTTTCTAGACTTTTGCTGTGTTCTCTGCATCCGGCACTCGTCCCTAATTGTGTTAGCCTCTTCTTCCTTCTGCAAGGATTAGCTTAGGTACCTCATTAGCATGTCTCTTGCCCAAATCCACGTGGTGTAGGGACAAAGGATCTTGGCTGTCACACTTTGGGTAAAGTGTAGGTTCTCTGTCTGTCCTTTCTTGGGATAGAACACTGAGTAAGGTTCTACACAGACCTTTCTTTCATGGAGCTCACTGTCTAAAGAGGGAGCCAGGTGATAAATATAATCACACAGTGAATTACCTAATTGTGGTTGTGTTAAGAACTACAAGTTTCTTGAGAGTGGAATCCTACTGGTTTATCTCTGTAGCCTAAGGACTCACCACAGTGTCTGGGCTTATAGAAATTTAGTAAGCTTATAATAATGGGATCTGAGGCAGTACATTTACTGATCTGGGTAAAGAAAAGGAAAATGGAGGGATGGCAGGGTTCTAGAAGGACGTGGTTCATGATCTTGGTCATGAAAGATACAGATATTCCTATCAATTTCAAGAGCATTTGTTTTTATCCTACTTCACCCTTGGAGATAGCCAGTGCTATGGTCATCTTGGCTCTCCCATCAGTATTCTTATTTCTTAAATGTATTATGTTTCTGCTCTTCTACCTTACACCCTACTTAGTCAATCATAGCTGGAAAGGTGATTTTTTTCATATATTGGATTGAGCAACTATTTTTTTTCAGCCCACTTAGTATCGTGAAGGTGGGCTTAAGTGCGTTCATTTTAGGCTGGAGCCTGAGATTCTGCTTTCCTGACAAGCTCCTGGTGGCGGCGTTGCTGCTGCTGGTCTGTGGAGCACATTTTGAGAGGGATAGGCTTTAAACTGGATTACTACCTGTTCCTCGTTGAAATGTAATGGTGAGGGTTTTCTATTATAAAAGTGACTCAATATGTTAAAATTTGGAAAAGACTAAGAAGTAGAAATTTTAAATCATTCAAAGCCATCTATTTGGTGTGTTTCCTCTTAATATTTATATTGGTTGATTGGTTCATGGAAATATTTCAGATTTATTTTCACACTTCATTACTCTTCCCAGACCCAGTTCCCTTTTTCCCTTTTTATTTGTTATCGCTATGATGGATTCTGGACATATGGGCCTTACATGATCTTACACTTTTACTGTCTGTGGATGTATCCTCGAGCAAATAGAACATTTTACATGTTCTTAAACTTTGTAAATGGAATTGTGCTGTTTATCTCATTCTACAGTTTACTTTTTTTCTTCAGCGTGTTTTTTTTCCCCCAACATGATGTTTTTGAGATATACTCTTGTTGAAAAAATTAAAAATTCATCAGTGTTTTGTTGTATTCCCTATCTTGGAAGATTTAGACAATAACCATTACAAATGTTACTATAATAAAGTTTAAAACTATCACTTTGTTGACGTTTCCTGGCGGTAGTCTTTTCTCTAATTTTTATTTTTCCCCTGTTGTAATCATGCACGTCTAGTTTTATCTGCTTTTTTTCATACAACAGATTTATCCATTTCATTACCTACGTTCTACAAACAGAATTTTGCATGCTCTATGCCGTCGTTTCCTGAACCACTCCTCCATGGTTGGACAGATTGTCATTTTCTCATGTGGTCAAGCTTTGGAATAGGATTATTTCTTAGAGTCTCATGAGGGAATTTACGTAGGTAGAAAATAAAATTGTTATGAACCATATTGTCAGATTTCTTTCAAAAATAGTGTACTATCTCACAAACAAACTTAAGTAACTTCCTAAGGTTCTGAAGGAATTCTGTTCTTTCTTTCTATTCCAGGCCATTGCAAACCAGCCCTGGGCTCAGAAACTTATGTTTCAGAGTCCAGGTTTTGTAGAATATGTGTTGGACCGGTCTGTGGAGCATGACAAAGCTTCAAAGGATGCCAAATACGAACTGGTCAAAGCGCTCGCCAACTCCAAGACAACTGCAGAGATCTTTGGGAACCCGAATTACTTGAGGCTCAGGTCTTTCCTGAGTGAAGGTCCGTACTATGTAAAACCTGTTTCCATGACTGCAGTGGAAGGAGCAGAATGATTTCTTCTAGCACTTAATCGAGAGGACCCGTTTTGGACCAGAACGTCTCTGAAGGCGCTTGACTCCATCTGTATTGTATAAAACAAAGACTCCCCTCCCCTCCCGGAATCAACGCGGAGTGCTCTACTAAGACCTACAGGGTCACTGTGAGTCAGTATTGACTCAATGGCAAAGTTTTGATTTTTTGAGTTTAATCACCAACCTTATTTTATTTTTGTTGGCTTGCTTTTACATTGAAATACAATACGAAATCAGGGATTTGGCGTGCACGAAGAACAGACAAGTGGGTCTTCATTAAAGCAGGTATCTTCTCAAGGATTTTTGAGTGCCATTATCTTTGCACACATGGGAGGAAGTTCTGCTTCTCCTCGCCTCTCAGAACACACCCGTGGACATGCCCTCTCTTCGTAACCTCTCCACAAAACGGAACCACACTGACTTCTGGACTCTGTAACCTATTTTCTTTTTGGCCATTTCCCTTCTTAATCCATTTGCAAAGTCTTGGTTATAAATGGTCTCCGAAAACTGGTATAGGAACTGAAAATTATGTTCTCTTTATACTAAGACTAAATCTTTTTAATTGTCTCCCTTGTTTTTATGTTACTATTATTTCTTTGAAAAGTAAACAAAAATCTGAAAATACGATTCCAGTGCTTTTTGAAATTTTCTTGTTCATCAGTGAATTTTGGTTTGTGTGTGGGGGCTGGGTGGGGGCATGATAATGTGCTAATAGTTTTCCTGTAGGAGTCTTCGTTGGTGAGGCTTTCACATCTCCCTCTTCGATCCGCAAAGTCCGTCTTGGGGGGTTCACATTGAGGGAGACTGACTGAGTTATCAGTCAGCGGGGAAGGGACAAATCTATATAAATGAGGATGCCATCTCATTCACGGAGTGATTTTCCTGTTGACAAAAGTTCCCCCTCCGTGTCCTAGTGCCCATCTTTCCATGGCAAAGCACTCTGACGCTCTCCCAAGTGCCGACCTAAAGGTTCCCGCAGGACCCCGTTAGGGGTGACCAGCGCAGACTCAAGGCCCTGGTGAAGCTGATAAGCCATTCCTACTCTTAAAATGGTTCTCCAGTGATTGGAGTTCCCTTGTCCCTGGATTCACTGTCTCTCTCCTGCTCTCTCTACTATGTTGGAGCCGCCCATTTCCTTACTATTAATATCATTAGTTAGGCTACAGCTAGGTTTTTCTCAACCTCTTTTAAAAAGTGATTTTTGCTTTATCTCATTTGTGATGCTGATTTTAATCACTTCTGAGTTCAAAGACAAGGTGACTGCTTTGTCTGATTTATGCCCGTGACTTTTCCTTTGCACATATGTTCACTGAGAAGTATTGACAGTCTATTCTGTACTTGACAATGAATAAAGAAATCATGCTATATTAGCTATTGTCCTGAATACAAAACTCCTGTCATGAAATCTTCACATTGCTACTTCACAGTTGAGAAGGCAAACAAGTGAAGTTGCTTTTCCCCAAATCAGGTAGCAAGTGGCTAAGAGTCGAGGTAAGTAAGGGTGTGTATTAGTGCAACTAAGGGAAGGTACAGATACCGCCTATCCAAACAGTGGAGACTAGGTTGGAGGTTTTTATAGAGGAAACACTTGTCTGACTCTTGAAAGAATGGATGGGAGAGAAGTCAAGAATGGAGGGGAGGTGCATAGTAAGCAGCTCCCTGGGTGGCACAGTAGGCCAACTGAAAGGTTACCAGTTCAAACCCACCAAGTGATGCCAGTTTTCTTCTACAAGTGTTGTGTAGATAAAGGCACCAAGACAGAAATTAAGTACCTTCTGTAGGTCACACACCCCAGGGCCAGAATATTAACCTGGCTTTCTGAGAGGATCTCACATGTATTCTCCTTTTGTTACGTGGCTGTATTTTTATATATAATCATGGCTAACACAGTGTTTACTGTACCAGGCAAAGTTCTAGTAGCTTCTCATGTATTCAGGATGTCTACACTTACCCGGAGTTAGCGAGAATTCTTAATGAAAAAAATAATCTCTATTTCTCTGAGTTCTGATAGCCATTGCAAAGGCTATATAGAAACTCGCAGACAAGATTCATGATTAAAGGGTTTATTAAGGACGTTAAGATGTAAAGTCATTGAGAAATGCTCAGAGTAGTTGTTTACCAGGACACGTTACAAAGTTTCAGGTCTGCTGATAGATACCAAAGGGGTGTGCCACTCTTCTGTAAACCTTAACCCTGAAGACATTCAGCTCAAGCTCTGTGGGTCAGCAAACCCAGCTCCGTGAATTAAGTGCCCAGAGGCACCCCACTCCACAAGCCAGCCTCCTGCATAAAAGCACTCCATGGGTGGAGAAGTCCATCACTGGCCCACACTCTGGCTCCTGATTCTACTGCTGCTGCTCTGATGGGCGAGTTGTCTTCTGGATCACTGCTCAGGTCCAGAGGACACGTTCCACTGCTAGTGCCCGCTGATAATGAGATCCCTACTTCTGCTTCTCAGAGGGCTCATTTTATAGACTGCAGGATGTCACTCCAGGGGAGCCTAGTCACAGTTGCTCAGAAGTGAATCCTATTAGTATTTCCCCCACCTTCTTAACCAGACTCGTTCAGGGAAATGCCCTGTGGTGGGAGTTCAAGACTGGCTAGAAGAACCACATTAAGTAATCCATTGCCCCTGCACTTGTTTTCAGATGAGACCAAGGCACTGCAAAGTTAAGGAACTTGCCCAAGGTCACACGGCTAATAAATAGAGTCAAGATTTAAACCTAGGCTGTACCAACTCAGCACATGCTGCTGCTTCCGCTTACTGAAGACTTAACTGTGGGCCAAATCCAACGCTGACCACTTGATAGAGCTCAATAAGCACGGCAGGTCTCAGTTTGTGTATAACAGGCTCGATAGTACCCAAAACGGTGCTAGTACGTGCCTTGTTTAGAAGGGATGTCACTTGGGGTGACAGCTAGAATGCCGGGAGCCATGGGAGAGCAACCACTCTTCTTGGGCTTAATTGTGCCAGAGAAATGTCAGGACTTACATAGCATGAAATGTGGATTTGTTGGACTCTTATCTGTGAAATGAGCATTGCCGACAGTGGGACAAACCACAAGGTCAGCACTTCAAACCCACCAGATGCTTCAAGGGAGAAAGATGAGACTTTCTTCTCCCATGGACATTGACAGCCTGGAAAGTCATAGCCTATAGGTTGCTATATGTCAGAATTGGCTCGATAGAAGTGAATTTGTTTTTTTGTTTGTTTGTTTGTTTTAACTGGGAAGTAGGGCCTAATTGCAGGACCTAATGAAATGATTTTGCACGCTGGAGACACAGTGCAGGAATTGAGGACTTATGCCCGGTCTGACTCCTGCCCCTGTGCTCCCCCCCACCCCCGGCACAACACACACCAGGATGAAGCACAAAGGGAGCAGCAGAGCAGCAAGGGGAGCAACGCAACTAGATCCCCAAGGAATTCTGAAAATAACTTCAGACTCGGAGAGCAGGGCTTAGCCCTCCATCAGGCCTGATCAGAAAACATTCATAAGGGTAAGCAGACAGACCTAGAACTATTTGCTTCCCCTCCGCCACCCTTTTTTTCTTTATGTCTATCTATATAAGATAGGCAGGGTAAACAATCCCAAGAAGAAAACAAGGGGACTGACGGTTCTGGGGGAACAGAGGACAGGAGGAGGCAGGGGAAAGGAAGGGGGGAGGCCAACAAACTCAGCACAAGGGAACAAGGGATCTAAAATCAATGATGAGGTGGGCGTAGAAGCTGGGTGGGGTTTGATCAAGTGCAATGTGTCCGGAAGAGCCTAATGATGGTGGAACATGATAGTGGGAGAGGAGGAAAGTAGAAAAAAATAGAGGAAAGAACTAGGGGGCAAAAGACATTTATAGAGGTCTAAATACAGGCATGTATATGTATAAATATATTAATATATAATGATAGGGATATAGGTCTATGTACATAATAGTTGTATGTTAAGTATTAAGGTAGCAGACAGACATTGGGCCTCTACTCTAAAGTCCTCCCTCGACACAAGAACACTGTTATAACCTGGCATTCTGTGATGCTCACCTTCCCAACAAGATTGCTGAAGACAAAATGGGTGCATAAGCAAAGGTGGTGAAGGAACCTGGTGGTACCTGGCTATTAAAAGACAGTGTCTGGGGGTCTTAAAGGCTTGAAGTTAAACAAGCAGCCATCTCGCAGGGAAGCAACAAAGCCCACATGGACAAAGCACAACAGCCTGTGTGATCACAAGGTGCTGATGGGATCAGAAGATCCAAAGCAAACAATCTTATCAATGCAAACGGGGGATTGGAGTGGAGAACCAGAGCCCATTTGTAGACACCTGGACATCATAGTAGATTCACAAGAAAGGGACGAGTCAACCAGGGTACAGTGCAGCATTAAGGAAACATGCAACCTTCCTCTAGCTCTTTAATGTTTCCTCCCCGCCCTCCACTATCATGACCCTCAGTCTCCCTTACGAATTCGGCTAGACTGGAGTATGTACATTGGTACAAATAAGAGTTCTTGACACATGGACTCCAGGACAGATAACCCCCAAGGATCAGTAATGGGAGTAGTGTAACCATGAGGATAAGAGAAAGGTCAGGGGAGAGGGAGGAGAAAGTGAATTGATCGCAGATTGATGTATAACACCACCACCCCGGGGCCGGGGGACGGGAAGAACAAAAATGGGTGTAGGTAGACAGTAGATGGTGTAAGATATGAAAATCTATAATTTACCAAGGGTTCACAAGGAGGAGAGGGAGGGAAAGAAACTGATACTAAGGTTTATTTTGAATATAATTATGCTCATGGACTTAAAATTCCTTTAGATGACATGTCAAATATCTGGTCCATCGGGATTCTGAGAACATCTTTCAGCTTGTAAAGTCCGATGAGAGATTCAGAGAGATTACATCAAATAGAAGGAAGGGGAGATGCTTTCTACAGCAGGCTAAAAAGTCATTTGAAAAGAATAGACATTAAAAAAAAAAGAATAGACCTAGGAAACCTAATCACCAAAATACAAGGCATTGTTTTTGATGGAGGTCACATGAAGATGCTTAAAATTGCCAATGTATGTCAGAAGCTTGCAGGAAATGAGCCCATAGTAAGTCTCAAACAGTGTGCATTCATTTCCATCACTGATTTCTTTCCATGCCAGGGACATTTCAGCATCTGTAGTTTTGGAGGATGTGAAAATGAATTTATAGCAACATCTGTTGTAACTGATATGCTTTCCCCCAGAAAATCTTGAGCTGTGGATGGGTACAAGACCAATGGACTTAGCACAAATTCCTACAAACACATCAGCAGGTACCGTCATGGGTGCTTCTTTGAGAACAACATACACCATCCGAGTCACAGCCTGGGACATTATGAAGGCCTCACCACTGCAGTAATCTGGGTAGTACTTTTCTGGGTACTCACTAAGAGGAGCAAATTCTTGGCTGCGAGGGTCTCGGTTAGGTGTCTCCTGATGGATAACTCTTCCTACGTAAATCTCTTCAAGATGTTCTTTCAGATTGAGAAGATAGTCCATCAGGGCTGGTAGGTTGACAAACACCTCTTCATCCACCTTGAGAATGAACAGAGCATTAGGACAGAAAGTTACAGCCCACTGCGTCATGGCCGTGATCTTCAGGGTTTGGTTCCCAGACGTGTCTAAGAAGACTCCTTCGATTATATCCTTATTTTTATGGGCCTCTTTGTCTATCTCTTGCTGAGTAGTCAGCAGAACAGGCATTCCCAACGCAAACAGTGTAAGAATGGCATGCCCTTGGACACTGGTTACGTTGCCCCAGGTTTTCCTGATGAGGTCCCGCCGCGTCTCATTTCCTGGGCTACTGAAGACGAGAGAGAGCAAAAAGATGTTCTTCTCTTTACACACTTCTGACTGGCTCAGGATATAATATTTGGAGAGGTTGCTTCTTAGGGGTTCCATGTTCAATTTTCTTGCTTTATCCTTAATTTCAAGAACTTTCATATCTACATAAGGCAACGAATGCAGAAAGTACTCTTCCACAAAGTCAGCCCCAAAAAGTAAGGCATGAAATAGGATGACATTAAACACAATAAAACACCATTGGTGAGTTCGGAGCCTGCAGAACGTCACCTGAAGAAAGAAAGAAAGCATGTGTTCACTCAAGCCTCATCTCCATTTGTGTCCTTACCCCGCAACACCCTTGTGTGCCACTATTCTAGCACGTAAGAGCATCCTCTTTTAAGTAGTAGTGGTGTCTCTCTCACTGGATCCTGGTTTCTTGAGCATCAGGCATCCTATCTGATTTTTCAGTAAGTGACCAAGTAGACACTGAGTTGATGTTTTAGTTGTTTGGATGAAAACCTACTTATATCTACAAGGCACTGACTGCCACAGGAAACGGGAGAACCAAAAGGAGTTAGATGTGGACACGTGGCTGGAAAGAACAAGTAGCATCAAGATGATAAAGGCCTATAGGAAAATGTATGATGCCCTTTCTTGGCCTGAAGCACGTGGATCTGTTTCTTCTCTAATTACAAAAGCCAAGGGGTACTTTTCCATGCAGTGGTGACTTTTATTGGCCACTGCACACTGAGTATAATCAAACATTTATGTTTTTCCAGTATGACTTTCCAATTTAATAGAGAACTAGAGTCTGTTTTAAAGTGTTTTTAATCCAGCTTTAATGTCTGTCCATATAGGCAGATTCCTATATAGCACTAGAGATCACGAACCTAACAAGCTTACCGTGTGTACCTCATCAAAAGAGCTTTGAACAACAAAGCCTTTCACGATGATTTCTCTTGACACAAGTTGATGCTAGTTCATGACACACACACACCCCCCACGTTTCATAGTACAGCTCTACTTCATAGGGTTTGCAAAGGCTATGGTTTTATGGAAGTAGATCGCCACCCTTTCTTCCGCAACACCACTAGGCATATTCAAATCACCAACCTTCTGGTTAGTAACCAAGCAAAAACTATTTGTGCCAGGAGCCATTTCATATGACTCTGACCGAAACCAAACTCACGGCAATCAGTCATTTCCCACTCAAAATGACCCTATAGGGCAGAGTGGAATTGTCCTTTGGTTTTCTGAGATTTTAAATCTTTATGGGACCAGATAGCTTCATCTTTCTCCCTCTAAACAGCTGGTGGATTCAAACTGTTGAAGTTAGAAGCCCAACACATAACCCACTATGCTGCCAGGGCTCCTTTTCATATTGATAGTCCCCTTTTATTGAACACTTGCTTTTGCAAGATTTTTTAAGCACTTTTCTCACCTTCACCCACGTAGTCATGGTGGTATCCTTTCCAGATGGGTTCTCATCAAAGTTAAGTGTATCATCCTAGCAGATGAATAATTTTGCCCAAGATCACACAGCAAAGAATCATGTAGGGCCATGATTTGAAATAAAATCTGTGAGATCCCAAAGCTCACTCTTAACTATTGGAGAATCTTGATTGTTCTTTATTGAATAGCAACAACAAAACTAAACAAACTCCTGCACCTGTGATCTGAATGCCTTTCTATTTCTCAGTGCGAATTTGCATATAGAAGAAGATTCAGCCTCCTCAAAGCCTATTTTAATAGATACCAAATGCTTCAAAGATTAATTAGAAACATACCTGCATGTTGACCAGGAGGAGTTTCAGGACTTTGGAAGTTAATGAATCCAGAAGGTAAATTATGTCCAAGTGTATTTCAGGATCACTCCAATCTAACAGCAATGGAAGTAAAGTACTTGGTGCCTGAAACTTTAAGGGTAAGGTTTCTTTCCAATCAGCCTGAGCTTTTGTCCCAGAAGACCTAATGGCTGCATAGGAGAGCAAGTGCTGATCATGTTACAGCTAGAGTGAATGCAGGACAATGAATGGAAAAAGCAAGCCTCTTCAGATGCACCCAACCCTGTGTATTTAATGAAATTGACCCCTTGTTCTCTGGTGTGTTCCTCTTGAGGCATATGTGGGAGCGCCAAGAACAATACACCCACATCGCCTATCTGCAACATCCTAACGCAAGGAGAAGGCCCTTATACAGAAGAATGTCCCATGGACAGTAAACTTCTATTTGCTTATTAAAAATGTGCAAATTTGCCCTCACTTTGAGACAGTTAAACCAACCCCTACTCACAGCAACATTTTCATCACAGTCACCGTCACTCGCTGTACATACGGCTCTTAAATCACATTCAGCCTCGTCTTTCACTAATCCCCAAACCCACTGCCATGAAGTCAATTTAGATTAATAGTAACCCTGTAACCCTGTAGAATCACCCCTTTAGGCTTCTGAGACTAACTCATTAAGGGACTAGATAGCCTCATCTGTTTCCCTTGGAGTACCTGGTGGGTTTGAACCACTGACCTTGCAGTTGGCAGCTCGTTGTTGCAATAAAGTATGTCTAAATAAGAACCATATGCACCCGTTATCTTCAATTCCTAAAGACACAGAAACTGCCCTCACTCATAACCCAGGGACTGTTGGTAAGTGGGTTTTGGAGTGCATCTCCAGAAATAACAGTAGCAGTGGAACTTTCTGCTCGACATGCATGTGCTACAAAAGTACTAAAATCATCCAGGTATACTTGTCCCTAGTTGGTTCCTTTTCCCTCCCCAAAGAAGGAGAAGCTGTGCATCAGCTTCCTATCACTGCATTTATTCCATCTATATGCTGAGCAAATAACCAGAAGCTGGCTTACATGAGACGAATGTGGCATCAGTATTGGAGGAATGCTTATTAACAACCTGAGATATACAGATGACACAGCTTTGCTCCTGAAAGGGAGGAAACACTTGCACAAGCAACTTGAAGCACCTGCTGATGAAGATTAAGGATTTCAGCCTTCAGTATAGATTACAAGTCAATATAAAGAAGACCAAAATCCTCACAACTGGACCCATAGGTAACAGCATGATAAAAGGAGAAATGATTGAAGTTGTCAAGAATTTTGTCTTGCTTGGATCCACAATCAATGCTCATGAAAGCAACAAAAGATCGAAAGACCTGTTGCGTTGGATAAATCTGCTGCACGAGACCTCTTTAGAGTATTGAAAAGCAAGGATGCTATCTTGGAGAACTAAGGTGAGCCTGACCCAAGCCATGGCATTTTTAAATTGCCTGACATGCATGTGAAAGTTGGATGTTGAATGAGGAAGATGGAAGAGGAATTGATGCATTTGAATCATGGTGCTGGTGAAGAATATTGAAAGCACCATGGACTGCCAAAAGGACAAACACGTCTGTCATGGAAGAAGTACAGTGAGAGTGTTACGTAGAGACAAGGATGGCAAGACTTTGTCTTACATACTTTGGGCATATTGTCAAGAGAGACCAGTCCCTGGAGAAGGACATCAGGCTTGGTAAAGTAAAGGGGAAGTGAAAAGAGGAAGACCCACAAAGAGATGGATTGAAATAGTGGCTGCAGTGACAAAGCGGATGTATAAGCAAATGTGGTGAAGAAAGGTGATGGTGCCCGGCTATCAAAAGATATAGCGTCTGGGGTCTTAAAAGCTTGAAGGTAAACAAGTGACCATCTAGCTCAGAAGCAACAAAGCCCACATGGAAGAACACATCAGCCTGTGTGATTGCGTGGTGCCAAAGGGATCAGTTATCAGGTGTCAAAGAACAAAAAATCATATCATTGTGTGCTCACCTCCATGATATGATCGCTGAAGACAAATGGGCGCATAAGCAAATGTGGTGAAGAAAGCTGATGGTGCCCGGCTATCAAAAGGTATAGCGTCTGAGGTCTTAAAGGCTTGAAGGTAAACAAGCGGTCATCTAGCTCAGAAGCAACAAAGCCCACATGGAAGAAGCACACCAGACTATGCAATCACGAGG